GAATATGGACGTCTATCTCCCAGGATAAAATGATCAATCAATGAAAAATAGCAGCATTACAAATTTTTCTTACAACGAACATACAAAGTGTTTATACTCTTTCTCACAAGAAAATAATGCAGTAATATGTAGAGAATAGTTGCAGAATTATTTGGACGAAAATTGTTAATTAAAACATCAAATGATGGCTGCCTATTTATAGATGTTGTGGTGGCTTTTCAATTTGAATTAAACAGGTACCAAACCTGTTTGAACAGGTGCAACACTGTTTCAACAGATAAACTGTTTGGGTTTGAAATTTAAACAGATTTGAAATCTATTCAGGTGGAACAGATTTGAATCTATCCGAACCTGTACAAAAATCTGAAGAGGTGCAACAGTTGAATTTGAATTTCTAACAGGTTTTATTTTACTAAAAAATAAAATAAAATTCAAATATTTTTTGCCCAAAAAGATTAGTATTGGGCCGGACAAGCCCAATCCAACCTTACACCGTGCACATACACTCGCGCCTAGGCCTGCTGGCCAGCGGCGTGCGCGTATATGGTGATTTTTGGGTCCAATGGGTTTAGCCCATTTTGCCCATAACCCCCCTCTATACAAAACTTGGGTGCCCCTTGGGGCCTATCCCAAGTTCTAATCTGGTGTCGTTTGGGAAGAGCTCATTTGGGCTCTTTTGGCTCTTTGAGCCACAAAAGACAGAATAGGCTATTTGAGCTACAACAGACAAAACATCACATCCAACCCATAATCATTACACTCTTCTCTCACAAAAAAGTCAAAAAAGCCAAAAAGTCAAAAAGCCCTTCCCAAACTAAGCTTTTGAGTCCATGCTCAAATAACCAAAAAAGTAAAAAAAACTAAAAAGCCAACCCACTTTCCAAACGGAAGTTGATTAACTTTAAATTGATACGTATTGTGAAAAGCAATTTTCTTTTTCACTAGTTTATGTCGGTGTATATGAATTGGCCTATATTTTAGTGTGGGTTTAGAATTTATTCTTTTATATTGTTTAACTTTTTAAAGAGAAAAAAAATACTAAAGAGAATTAACAAAATTATTTAACAATTACACACTATACATATAGAATGAGGCCACATAGTGTGGAGCTCATACTCATGTCAATCATGTATGGTTCATTCAATAATTTTGATAGTACATGAAATATTTTTCCAAAAGAAAGTGTTTTAAAAATTGTTAGAAACTTATTTTTTTTTTGCAAGTCAAAAAGTTGATATAACATTTGACTTTTTAAAATCATGAAAAATAATTTAATAATTTGGGTAAATTATATTGTTACCCTGAGATGTCTATTTATTACAGTTTTCCTCTCCATCTTTTGGAAATTACATTTCTCTCCCTGAGATTTAAAGTTTCATTATAGATTGCTCGCTGATGTTAGCAATTTAATTTGGGTAAATTACATTGACACCCCTCATATTTTAAAAATTACAATCCTCTCCCCAAGGTTTAAAGTAGCATTACTAATTGCCTCTTCGGTTAGTATTAGTTGAAAAAAAAATTCATCGAAAAAAAAATTATTTGAAAAAAAAAATTAATTGAAAAGAAATTTTGTTAGTCAAATTTTTAAATTTCTGTTTAAAAACCAACGTAAACTCATTTTTTGAATTTACGTTTTTTTCCTCAAATTTACAAACTGAGATAACCATTTATAAACCATAAAAATTATCAAACAAGTTTTTATGACAAATTTTAAAATTTTTGTAAATATAAATTGAAAACTAAAAACGAAATGGTTACTAAACAGGCTTTAGATGATAAAAATGTCGTAAAATAAACAAATAATTAAATAAGTTACCAACGTAAGAAATGACTTATTAAAAGACTCTTAGGCAATGTATGGTTTGATTTTTAGAAAAAAAAATTAAATTAAAAATTAATTTGGTTAAGAAATAAAAAATAAAAAATAAAAAA